CCCGCTGCCTCATTCTCATGCCTTCGCGCTAGCCCCAACTCACATCGCGCAAGTCGAATACTGGAGCACCCGGCGCCACCAGAATGGACCACAGCGTCCCAGCTCGTCCGCCGCCACTAGCGAATGCCGCTGCTGCAGCCACTCGTCGAGGTGCACACGCGCGAGTTGCACCGGAGCAAGCGAGCGGCGCGAGTTGCACCGGAGCAAACGAGCGGCGCGAGTTGCACTGGAGCGACGGCGCCACGCCAGTGCTCTCTGCGAGCACAAGTAGGAGTGAGAGGGGATTGGGAAACAGGAAAAGGGGAAAACAAGGACGTGGGGAAAGTGGAAGGGAAAACGGGAATCAGAAGGAACAGAGAAGGAACGAGGGAAAGCTGGGATGCAGGAAAAAAATCTTCCTGCCAAGCGAAAGCAACTTCGAGCAACGACTCGGAGGGAGGGTCCGGAAGGGGAACGTCACGTTTAGAAACAGCTCGACAACAAGCGCCGCTACACCTCAAGTTCGGCACGCGGCGGCGGCAGATGTTCCTCATGTGAGCAAGCGATCGGCCGATCGAACTCTCTGCAAGAAAAAAAAACGTAAGTAGCAAGGCACCGGAGAAACGTCGAACACAAGACGCGCGGGAAACTACGACGTTACGAGCAGCGTGACAACAAACGCCGTTACGACTGGCGCGTGGCGGATCGACGAGACCGGGACGACTCCATGGCGGGGTGGATACTAATGATGGAAATGGCTAAGACTGGAAATTTGAAGCTAAGAAACGAAACGCACTCAGATATACTCGTGTGTTTGGTGAGAGAGATGCTCGCCAAGGGGGGGGGGGGGGGGGGGGGGGGGACGATCGGGGTGAGAGAGGCGGTTGTTCGGTGGGTTTGGCTGTGAAGGATGATGGTCCCTGCACCCCAGGGAGTGCAGCAGGCAGGAGGGGAGCCGAGGGTGCCCGGGGCACCCCAGGGAGTGCAGCAGGCAGGAGGGGAGCCGAGGGTGCCCAGGGCACCCCAGGGAGTGCAGCGGACAGGAGGGGAGCCGAGGGTGCCCGGGGCACCCCAGGGAGTGCAGCAGGCAGGAGGGGAGCCGAGGGTGCCCGGGGCACCCCAGGGAGTGCAGCAGGCAGGAGGGGAGCCGAGGGTGCCCGGGGCACCCCAGGGAGTGCAGCAGGCAGGAGGGGAGCCGAGGGTGCCCGGGGCACCCCAGGGAGTGCAGCAGGCAGGAGGGGAGCCGAGGGTGCCCGGGGCACCCCAGGGAGTGCAGCAGGCAGGAGGGGAGCCGAGGGCGCCCGGGGCACCCCAGGGAGAGCAGCAGGCAGGGGGGCAGCCGGGGGTGCCCGGGGCACCCCAGGGTACGCAGCAGGCAGGGGGGGGATCGATGGACGACCGGGAACAGCAGTTGGAGGAGTGGTGCCGACTTTTGGAGTTTGATACCCCCATGGCGACTGCGGAGGAGTCAGAGGCGGACGGAGAACCACCCAGTCCGCCTTCCCCATGCCCCCGTTTCCCGTGTGACACGTGTTTCCACACGTTCGCCACGAGAGGGGCCGCTGCGAACCACATGAGGGTATGCCGGGCGGCTGAGGCGGAGAGACGCGCGCAGGCACTTGGCTCGATCCCGTCTCTGGTGGAGACCGACACACAGGAGCGACCGACGCCGCGGGAATTTGGGGACGAGGCGTGGGCAGGGGTTAAGTCATGGGAGTGGGAGGCATTTTTCTGTGTGGAGGCGGTTGGAGGGAGGACAGTGCGCCGGATCCCGCAGCGGGCCCGGTCCGGGGTCTTAGACGCACTCTGTTGCATCTTGAAGCGGCTGAAGAGCCGACCGGGAGATGAAGCTGCTACCCTCCTACTCCTGGCGTTTCCGCGCCTCATCCTAGCCGTGCCTCCCAAGCCAGGCATAGGTCAGAAGGCGCTGATCATAGAGCGGCTGGGGGCCTTCTGGGAGGGGAGGTGGCGGGAGTTGTTCGACGCTGCCATGGCGGCGGCACGGCCAGCAGTTCGCCCACTTGCCTACACGTGCTCTGACCAGGACCCGGAGGCCATCCGCCTGTCACGGTGCCGATCTCGGTGTAAAGTGGGAGAGTGGAGCCGTGGTTTGTCTTGCCTCACAGCAGGAGAGTTGGCTCGACCGTCTGAGGCTATGGTGCAGTCGCTGCGAGGGAAGCACCCAGCTAGCAGTGGCGAGGTACCACCGTGGGTTCGTGAGTTTACTGTCGACGCTCCTCAGCGGCCTCCACTCACGACCGACATTCTGGCTAGAGCTATCCACACAGCTGCTCGCGCCTCAGCTGCAGGGCCATCGGGATGGGTCACAGAGCATCTGCGCGACACTTTCCTCACGGAACCTTCCTGCCTCTCCCACCTGCTGGAAGTGTTCAACCAATGGGTGGCGGGACAGGTCCCCGAGCGAGCTCGGCCCTGGCTCGCCGCATCCAACCTAGTCGGGCTTTCCAAACCCAACGGTGACGTCCGGCCGGTGGCGATCGGGGAGGTGCTTCCGCGTATCCTCGCTCGAGCTCTCTGCATCTCGCTTCGCCCTGTGATGGCTTCTTATTTTCTGCCGTGTAACCAGCTGGGAGTGGGCACCAGGGCCGGGGTGGAGATTCTTACTCATTCTTTCCGGTCAGCGCTGGCCACTCACCCCGACTGGTGTGCGCTGCAGATAGATGTCGCGAACGCCTTCAATTCGTTTCATCGCCACGCGATGTTCGAGGGGCTGAAGGAGTCGCCTTTCTCAGGAATGATCCCATTCTTGCGTGTCTTCTATGGGACACCTAGCGACCTGTACCTCCGAGCGGGCCCTTTCGTACAGAGTCTTGAGTCGGCACGAGGATCGCGACAGGGGGACCCGCTCGGCCCTTTTCTTTTCGCTTTCACGCAGCAGCAGGTGCTGGGGACGGTGACTAGAGAGTTCAGGGACCTACTTTTCTTGAGCTATGCAGACGATACCTACATCCTGGGACCAGCGGCTAGGATTCTGGAGGCTTTTGGGGTGCTGCGAGAGAGGTTGGAGTGGGTGGGGCTGGAAGTGCAGGCGCACAAGTGCAGGTTTTGGGAGCGTGGAGGTGGGGATATGGAGCGGGCATTGCCTTTGGGGATGCAGCGGGAGGAGGAGGGTCTTATTGTGGTGGGCGTGCCTATTGGGGAGGAGGATTGGGAGGGGGCCCGATTACGGAAGCGGCTTCGCGAGTTGCAGGCGCCATTGCCGTGGCTCCCCCTGCTCGACCACCCCCAGATGGCCTCGCATCTCCTCGCTATTGCAGTTTCAGCACGGCCGATGTACCTGGCCCGGACTATGCCGCCGCGGCCGGAGGTGGTGGAGGCCTTTAGAGAGTGGGACAGCTGTCTGGAGGATTGCTTTGAGCAGCTTTTCCCCCCTGGCACTTGGGAGCAGGATCCCGGCAGGTCTAGGCGCGCACGCATGCAGCTGCATCTCCCTGTGCGCCTCGGAGGGTTTGGGATCCGGGCGGCGGCCTCTTTGAGTCCGCTCTCCTATGTTTGTGGGTGGGCGCAGGCCGCACGGGATATTGCACATTTGGGGGTGGCGGGCGAGGAGGCGATGTTCGCAGAGTACCTCACCACTTCGGCGGGGGCGGAGCTTCTTGACCCGTGGTTTGCCAAGGCCATTGAGCAGTTGCCCGCGACTATACGCCAGGAGCTGCCGGACTTACCCCTGTGTGTGGCGGCCCCTCCTCTTCGGCTTTTCCAGGCGCGGCAGCGGCAGTTGGCTGTTGAGGAGCTCCAGGCACTCCGCCGCTTGGCTCGTGACGATGCCACCCTAGCCCGTTTCACATCCCTTCAGGGCCCGGGGGCTGGTGCATGGGTTTCGGCAGTTCCGGCTCATTCAGATCTCACATTCACTGCAGCGGAGTGGGGCATTGCTGCTGCTATACGGCTTGGTCTCCCAATCCAGCAGCTGCAAGTGGCGGGGAAGTGTGTTTGTGGCGCAGCGTATGATGACCCAGCAGACCCGCATCATGCGCTGAGATGCAAGCACCAACACGGTCCATCTCGGGTGCATGATGAGGTGAAGTTTGCGGTGGCAAAGATCGCTAAGGCGTCAGGGGGGGTGGTGACGATGGAGGATAGTGCGGTGCTGCCGGGGAAGCGGGTTGACGTAGCGGTGCGACGACCAATGGCTGGGGAGGCTCATGCTTTAGAGATTAGTGTCGCGGACCCGCTATCACTGTCTCCATCTCTGCTAGGGCAGTGCGGGCGGTCTATAGGCGTGGCGGCAAAGGAGTGGGAGCGTCGCAAAACGGGGGATTACGCGCCTCTTCTTGCACGGAACCGAGGCGTGCAGTTCACCCCTTTGATAGTGGAGACGTGGGGGTGTCTCGGCGGTCGCTTCCGGCGGTGGCTTCGACAGCAGGGGGACGCGCACGTGGGGCTAGCTGTGTCACGGGGGGCTTGTCGGGAGGATGACACTTCGTTCTCGGCTTACCTTTTGGGGTCTCTGAAGGCGCTCATCGGAGTGGCGTTACAACGGGCGCAAGCTCGTGTCATCCTGCTTCGGGCGGCGTCTTCCATGGGGGGGTTGAATGTGGACTTGGTGGATCGGGAGAGGGACGATGTCGAGGTGGAGGGCGGGCCTCTTTGGGTGGAGGCCCCCTACATGGTGGATGTGCAGATGTGACTTGGGGGGGAGGGGGGGGGGGGGGGGTGGGGGCGAGGGGGAATGGGGTGCGAGATGGGACGTCTGGTAGGGGATCCTGGTTGGGTTTTTTCTTTATAGAGTATTTTTATGGGGCTTTTTATGGGTGTTGCGTTTGAGTTGTTTCTGGTGTCTTTCTTTCCCGTTCCTCTCCTCTTGTGCGATGCTTTTCTTTGCCGAATGACATTCACTTGCTATGGTCAAGACTTGGCAATTGAGTGATTTTGGTGTGAGATCAACGGTTCACAATTCAATTTGGGATAGATCACCTCCTCTGGGGCGTGATTTTGTTTGGCGGAAAATGATGAGTCACATTCTGTCAACGCGCTGAACCCGGAGAACCGTCGATAAGTCAGAATTGTGGTGACAAACCAAGGGCATCCGTCTCCCCAGCGTTATGAGATGTAAACTAGACAAACAGGCCCTAGAATGAAAAGTTGGTGTATCACGTCACTCAATAATAACATTTAAGTCCTTTTAGCATTTCTTTTATACGAATTTTCAAGCTGTTGAATAATAGAAAACAATACCACAGATCATATTATAAGTATCAATTTATCTGTGTATCTTATTCCCACATAGTATATTCCACGTGCTTTGTTAAACGGCTTCACGCTTTTTACGCATCCATTACTACTACTACTACTACTACTACTACTACTACTACTACTACTACTACTACTACTACTACTACTACTACTACTACTACTACTACTACTACTACTACTACTACTACTACTACTACTACTACTACTACTACTACTACTACTACTACTACTACTACTACTACTACTACTACTACTACTACTACTACTACTACTATTACTACTACTACTACTACTACTATTACTACTACTACTACTACTACTACTACTACTACTACTACTACTACTACTACTACTACTACTACTACTACTACTACTACTACTACTACTACTACTACTACTATTACTACTACTACTACTATTACTACTTCTACGACTACTAGTACTACTACTACTATTACAGACATCTACTACTATTACATGCATGCGAGACAAGCTTGGTGCCGTTCGCAGCATATGGGAGGAAGATAATGTTGAGATACTAGCACAAGTGGTAGTTAGGTTTAGGGCCTAGGCTTAGTAGCCTAGGCCAAGGGGGGAGAGGAAGTTTGTGCCAAGAGAGAAAGTCGAAAATGGGAATGATGCAATATGAGAAACAAGTACAAGTTATAGTTCAGGAAGGGTGCACCACCAAGCAAGAACAAATGTATGACTACACTACAGCAAGAACAGTTATATATAATTCTGACATCCCCCCGTAACTGCATGCAGGAATAGCTAAGTGAAAGACACAACCTGCAGGGGTACACCACAGACCGAGAAAACAGCAACAGCAGGCAAGGCAGCAGAAAAGGTTCGGCAGCAAAGGGGCAGGCGACAGCAAGGCACTTCTGCCACCCCCTTACTCTCCTCCCCCCCGGACCACAGGAGGGGCGGCAGGGAGAGAGAGGAGGCGGGCTGGCGCTGGCTGGTCACCCCTTCCATCCCCTCACCCTCCCCCTCCCCCTCCCCCCCACACTGCTGCAGGAGCAGCAGAGGGGGGAAGAGAGGAGAGGTGGAGGGACGGCTGCTGGTTGGTCTCACACCCGCCACCCCAGTGCCACTCCCCCGGCTCCCCCACACCCTCACACCCTCCCCCCCAGCGGCAGCTGCAGCAGTGGGAACGAAAGGAGGAGGAGGGGAAAGGAAGCACAGGGGCGGCTGCACCGAGTGCAGGCGCGGGTGAGGCAGGGGCACCGTCGCGGGCGCCAGGGGCGGGTCCGCGGCGGCTCAGGGCACCGTCGCGGGCGCCAGGGGCGGGTCCGCGGCGGCTCAGGGCACCGTCGCGGGCGCCAGGGGCGGGTCCGCGGCGGCTCAGGGCACCGTCGCGGGCGCCAGGGGCGGGTCCGCGACGAGCAGATAAAACGTCACGCGCCACCCGGGCGCGGGACAGAAGGAAATTCGCCACGCGCCCGCAGCGCGCGACCGGAAAACAGCAGCGGAAGCTTGAGGCAGGCCCACAGGCCAGGACGTAACAGGCTCTGATACCATGTTGAGATACTAGCACAAGTGGTAGTTAGGTTTAGGGCCTAGGCTTAGTAGCCTAGGCCAAGGGGGGAGAGGAAGTTTTTGCCAAGAGAGAAAGTCGAAAATAGGAATGATGCAATATGAGAAACAAGTACAAGTTATAGTTCAGGAAGGGTGCACCACCAAGCAAGAACAAATGTATGACTACACTACAGCTAGAACTACATGCAGTTATATATAATTCTGACAGATAAGCCGTTTCGAACAATTGAGCATGTAAAACAGTGCAATGATAGGCTTGTGCTAGACGTCGAGCCGTTTTTGGCCAGCAAACGCACAAACAAGTGCTGCATAGTTGGGTAAACGAGGTCAAACCAGTTCCCACGGCAAGAAAATAGGATTTGCTACCTGAATGTGTGAAGAAATAGTGCTAAAAACAACATCCAAACGTTCAAACGATGACATGTTGCACAGAGGCCTGTCCTTGCACAGATTCAGACGAGCAAACACACAAACAAGCGTCACGAGCTGCGTAGTTTGGCGAACTAGGTCAAATCAGTTCCTGTGGCAAAGCGAATAGGATCTAAGAACTGAATGTGTGAAGAAATAGTGCTAAAAATAACGTTCAAACGTTGAAACGGTGACATGTTGCGCACAGGCCTATCCTCGCACAGATTCAGGCCAGCAAACGCACAAACATGCGCCACGAGCTGCGTAGTTGTGCTAACGAGATGAAATCAGTTCCTATGGCTATGTAATAGGATGTAGTAGAGAAATGTGTGAAGAAATGGTGGTAAAATAGGCATCCAGACGGTGGTGCAGTGACATGTTGCGCACAGGCCTATCCTCGCACAGATTCAGGCCAGCAAACGCACGAACATGCGCCACAAGCTCCCTATCTGTGCTAACGAGATGAAATCAGTTCCTATGGCTAGGGAATAGGATGTAGTAGAGAAATTTGTGAAGAAATAGCGGTAAAAAAGGCATTCAGATGTTGGCGCAGTAACATGTTGCGCGTAGGCCTATCCGCGAATAGTTTCAGGCCAACAAACGCAAAAACATGCGTCACGTGCTGCGTAGTTGTGCTAACTAGATGAAATCAGTTCCTGTGGCTAGGTAATTGGATGTAGTAACGAACTGTATGCAGAAATAGTGGTAAGAAATACATTCAGACGTTGGCGCATTGACATGTTGCGCACACGCCTATCCTTGCACAGATCTAGACCTGCTAACACACAAACAAGCGTCACGTGCTGCGTAGTTGGGCGAACGAGGTCAAACTAGTTCCTATGGCAAGCGAATAGGATGCACTGACTAAATGTGTGAAGAAATAGTGCTAAAAACAAACATCCAAACGTTCATATGATGACATGTTGCACACGGGCCTATCCTTGCACAGATTCAGACCAGCAAACGCACAAACAAGTGTCACGTGCTGCGTAGTTGTGCGAACGAGGTCAAACCAGTTCCTATGGCAAGCCAATAGGATGTGCTAACGGAATACATGAAGAAATAGTGCTAAAAATAACATCCAAACTCTGAAACGGTGACATGTTGCATACATACCTATCCTTGCACAGATTCGGGCCAACAAACGCACAAACAAGCGTCACGTGCTGCGTAGTTGTGCGAACAAGCTCAACCCTATTCCAATGGCAAGGGAATAGGTTTTAATACCTGAATGTATGAAGAAATAGTGTTAAAAAGAACATTCAAATGCTGAAACGGTGACATGTTGCGCACAGGCCTATCCTTGCACAGATTCAGGCTAGCAAACGCACAAAGAAGCGTCACGTGCTGCGTAGTTGAGCGAACGAGGTTAAACCAGTTCCAATGGCAAGGGAATATAATTTTATACCTGAATGTGTGAAGAAATAGTGCTGTAAACAGCATCAAAATGTTGAAACGGTGACATGTTGCGCACAAGCGTACCATTGCACAGATTTAGGGCCAGCAAATGCAGAAACAAGCGTCACGACACGTGGTGCTGTTTCAACGTCCGGTTTTTATTTTTATTTTATCATTTAGTTGGTTTCTTTTGCTCGTCCAAAATATTTTACTATCCTGCTACCTTGCTCGTCAAATCTTGTGCCATTAGGATGACGAGGTTAGATTGCGCCATTGTTTACTATCTCTTCCTGTGAAACTTTTTTTTTTTTCACAAGGTGAACTTAATTTACGATATTTGCTATATATGAAAATAATATGCACAAGATTCTGGTTTTATAAGAGTAAACATATGCAACTGTATGCTGTTGAAAAACAAAACTCATAGCACATTGAAACATATTTGTACAACTTGTGCTGAGGTAGCCAAAAACGCAGCTGAACAGTGTCGCACGAAATTCTGCCATCCAAGAAAATCGCGCGCGACACAAGACATGCGATGTGATTGGCGCCAAACCTCTTCCTCGAAATCCAAGCCAGAAACGAAGCAGCGCCCCAAAGTTTGGTTCGGTTTCGGAGCAGCACCAGCCTCAATTGCCCCGCCAAAGTTACTACCCTAAAGTAACTTGAACATAAGTAACTTTCGGGGGCCCATCAAATTTGGGATGGACCCATTCGGAAATTCCCATGCATCTCGCATGGTGAATTCCGTCTTGTTACAGCAGCACGTCCTGTCCTGGTCATGCAGCTATTAGGCTGACACATGTCACGAGCTAACGACGGTGCTCGCATTGTCACGTTACCACAAGCTAGTAAACAATGGCGCTCCCAAGCTTACACGTTAAATATTACAAGTTGGACGAGCCGCTCGAACCATGCGTCCCTCATTGTGCATAAACCGTCGTCTGTCGATTCGACATGTCGGTAAGCGTGCGCGCCTTTTTTTTCGACGGGTGGAGTGAGGATTGAAAGTGCAGAAATGCGTCCCAGGGGGAAACGGTCTTATCCTGATGAGGATTCCAGCTCGATAACTGCGCGCTCTCGCTCTCGTTGTACTGGCCAAGACATGGCTGATTCGGAGAAGCGGCTAACCATGAGGTCAACCTCCTCTACCACAAGGTAAGAAACCAGGCCTAATAGCCGCATCTTGTGCTTCTCGGATTACCTTTCTACTTTTGTTTCTTAGAGTATTTCCTTTTTTTTTTTTTTTCCGAACTTTGAACCGTGTGCCAGGAAACGGGCAAGATAATGTACATGGAGACTGGAAAGAATTTTGTCGATCTGCTCCTGGCGCTTCTTCGAATGCCGGTTGCCACCTTGCTCAAAATTTCAAAGGATAGCGGAAACCCCACCCAAGGATCAGATCAGAATCTTCAACGTTCTCTCCAGCGCAGAGCAGCTCGAGCCTTCGTCATCGCGGAAAAGGGAAGTGCGAAAAGTAACTGAAAATTTACTTTCCCGTCACTTTAGGGTTTCTTTCGCCTCGCAAGAAAAAAGTTTGACTCGTAAACAGTGGTAGCTCAAGTGACTTGCGACTCAACCTTTCCGTCACTTTCCGCCCACAAACTGTACACTTTTACGCAATTGCCTTGGTATACGGAAAGCAACCTCATGGGTGACTTTTCCGTCACATTTGAGCAAATCCTGACATGTGTCATGAATACGCCACGTGGCACGTCATGTACGCGAGATGAAACCGTACATGCTGACGTGGCTGTTACCGTACTTTAACGTCAACCGTCGGATTTAAATCAGATCGACGCACACAAATTTGCCATTTAGACCAATCAGAGCCTGTTTTTTTGTGTGCAGAACTATTTCCGATTGGCTTACGATTTTTGGAAAAAAAAGCCATGCGACAATTCCAGTGCACCTGACGATTTCAAAAGGCGTACGGTAACGAGTCTTTTAATTACAGTATTACAATTTACAAAGCACAAACTGTACACCTTGTTTCTACACCCAAGACCACACTACCTGCGTGTTTACACAATCATAATACATTCACTACGCACATTTCACAGATAAGAAGCTGAAAACTCTGCAAATCAGAAAACGGTTGTAAGCTAAAAGAATAGAGGGAAAATTAATTA